AGTTGCACCCTTGCGTAGGTTGTTGAGAAAGGAAACGGTCTGGAAATGGGACAAGGACTGTACCTCAACCTTCAAGCAACTGAAGAAGTGTTTGATAGAGTACCCGGTCCTCAAGATAGTAGACCCATCGCTGCCGTTTATAGTTACTTCCGACTTAAGTCAATGTGGGATTGGTGTAACAAAAGGATGGTGAAGGGTATAGGTCTGACAAGTTTGTCTTGTAGGCTACCTAGTGAGAAGGTTGCCGCCTCGACGTATGAGCGAGAGCTATTCGCTCTTCGAGAAGCACTAAGTCACTGACGACACTACCTCCTGGGACGAGAAGCACTAAGTCACTGACGACACTACCTCCTGGGACGACACTTTAAGGTCTCCTGCGATCACGAGATGCTACGCTGGCTCAAGACCCAGGCCCGAATGATGCCTAAGCTGACTAGGTGGGCTGGGGAGATTGACCAGTTTGATTTTGAACTGAAACCTGTAAAAGGAAAGTATATTGTCATCGCTGATGCTCTAAGTAGGCGAACAAATTTCTTTGGTGCCATAGTAACGTATCTTGATGTTGGCGCCTAACTGCCAGTCTATAGTAAGCTAATTTATAAGGGGCAAACTGCACTGCACGAAGTTTCATACTATAGAATGACCCAGGGATTGCTGTTTGAGAGGACTGACGTGCACGCCAGACTGTGCATACCGAATAGTAAAGAAATTTGCAGTCTAATTCTAAGGGAATGTCATGACACTGAGGGACACTTCGGTTGGAGGAAGACTTATGCTAACCTCCTTCATTCCTCTACATGGGTCGGAATGAAGAATGACTGCACAACTTACATTCAGGGCTGCAAGGAATGCCAGAGGAACAAGAGTTCCACGCAGCCACCCCTTGGACTGTTGAAACCGCTACCTGTTTCGTCAGGCCCTGGAGATTCCGATTCTATAGACTTTATGGACTCTACGGTAAAGAGTAGAAATGGGAAGAGTCAAGTGAAGGTGATAGCGGATAGATTTAGTAAATTCGTTGTTTTTGTACCACTCCCTGCGGAAGCTAGGACTGGCTTGGTGATTAGGGAACTCTTCAATCATTGGGTGAAGGATTACGGGCATCCCTTAACTATTGTGAGTGTGACAGGGATACCAGATTCACAGGCGAGCATTGGCAACAATTGATGAAAGTTTACGAATCGAAACTGACTATGTCCTGAGACAAACGGACAGAGTGAGCAAATGAACAAAGTGCTCCAGCAAATGCTGCGCATGTACATTAGACCTGATCAGATCGACTGGGATGAGCATCTTCCCAAGTTAGCTAGTGCCCTTAACAACTCTGTGCACCTAGCTACAGCTAGAACACCTAATGAACTGCATAGAGGATGGAGTCCTAGGCGACCTATTGACTGTTTGAACCCTGATCAGATTCACAGACTACCACCAGGCACTAGGGAGTTCGCTGTGCAATATGAGAAAGATCTGGAACGTGTAAGGGAGAACATCAGGAAATCCCAGCACCAAATGATTGAGCAAGCAAACAGACATCGTAGACCTTCGCAGTTCGCTGTAGGTGATTTAGTCTGGGTGAAGTCTAAAGAATTTCTCCCCGAGGAAAACATATCGCAGAAGTTCTTATCTGCATATAGGGGACCGTGGCAAGTCCTTGATGTCATTGGTGATGTTGATGGTCCCTCCTTTGTCATTGAGATTCCTCCGCATTTGCATACTTACCCTGTGTTTCACGCCGCTAAGTTGCCTCCCTGTGTCACTAATTATCAATTCATATCAAGAAGGTCTATGATGCCTCCAGATATGGATGGCAAATATAATGTGGATAGGATAGTTGCAGAAGATGTCAGAGGGAGGCCCGAACAAAAGTACAAAGTCAGATTTGCTTACCAAGAGCCCACAGAAGATCGCTAGTTCACTAGAGAAGAACTAATAGAGACAGCACCACAGATAGTATCTTATTATGAGAGAGCTCGCACAGGAGTGGACATAATAGATAGATAAAGTTGGTAACTTTCTCGGAGGACCTCGAAATCAGGCCGGCGAAGTGAAAGGCATTTTCACATCGCAGACCCCAAATTCACGTTTTAGGGTCAAGGTCCCCAAGTCAAAAGAGGCGAAGTAGGGCAAACAGAAAAAGGTTGTGTACCCCACAGTCTGCAAAGGTCAAAATTCAGTCGGTACCCGGCCTGGAAGTCAAGTCCCACAGTCGAAAATGCAGCAGCGCACCAAGGAAAGCCTGGAAGGTACCGGACATCAATATTCCAAAAGCAAACAGGCCATGGGCAACCAGTACCATTCAAAGTCAGGCCCAGACCAAGTCAAACAGAGGCCGAGTGAAGTACAGGCCCAGTCCAAGTCAATAAGAGACTGGCCCAGCCTCATTCGAACAGATGGCTCATTCACTAGCATGTGGAAGCGCTGCTGGTGCTTGCGTGCTATTGCGAGATGACCTAGCGCTGGGATCCCTGGCTGGGCAGCTCTAAGCTGCGGAAGACAGGCGGCCATAGCTGCTCAGTAGTAGCAGAGCATGTATAGGAGGCTGATGTATCCAGGGTTGTGATCCTCATAGTACCAGAGACAGGGAGAGTGCAGAGAGAAAGAGAGAGAGAGAGAGGGAAAGTAAGACCGCACGGTTGTGTGATACAAGCCGAGAGAGAGAGAGAGAGAGAGAGAGAGAGAGAGAGAGAGAGAGAGAGATGCATACCTGATTGAGGCTGCTTCTGTTGTGCTGATGAGCGCTTGGTGGCTCAAACTCAGAATCTTTATAATATGATGTTGTGCTGATGAGCACTTGGTGACTCGAACTCTGGGTTGTATAATATGCTAGGCTGGTCCCTGGGGCGCCCAGCGGCCTGGTCGTCGCCCGGGGCGGGGGGGCGGGCCGCCTGGCCTACGCCCGGTTGGCCACCGGGCGCCCCCAGCGCATCAGCGTAGGTAAATTTTTTATTTTTTTTTCCGGCGCTGGCAGCCTTTTCACCCTCATGGCAGACTATGCAGACCACGAAAAAAAAAGGGGGGCCGGCAGGCCCGATTTCACCGATTCGAAATCGGGCCCGATCTGGATCGTCGATCTAAAAAATCGACGGCCCAGATGGCCGCGATTTCAAATCGGTGAGGGCGGGAATTACCGGCCCCCGTTCCCTCCCCGATTCTCACGGTGTACCCCCTACCGTCTTCCCCCGAACATTACACACCCTAAAAATGAATGTATACGAGTTATATTTCCAGCCAGATACAGCCAAAATGAGGGTGCGTTGTGTTCGGGGGAAGACGGGTCCCCCTGTTCCCTGCCCTGCAGTTGTGCCGCTCCGCTGGACTTCGACGCGGAACTTCGACGCCTCCATCACCTGGCAACGCCCGCCACCGCACGTGACTCCGCTGACCCCACTGTCACCCGCCAATGCCCGCCATCGACAAGGTAAGAGAACTTGGGGGGGGGGAGAGAGAGAGAGAGAGAGAGAGAGAGAGAGAGAGAGAGAGAGAGAGAGAGAGAGAGAGAGAGAGAGAGAGAGAGAGAGAAGCAAGAGAAGAGAGAGAGAGAGATCTTCTTCTTCTTCTTCTTCTTCTTCTTCTTCTTCTTCGGATCCCTGGCGAGATTTGCCAGGCTGGTGGGTGGTCCATGGGGATCTTGGATTCCCAGGGTGTACCCCCACCTGCAGGAAGGGTAGGAGAATATTCGTAGTTCAGTCGAGGGGCCCTCCTACCTCGGCCCGGACCCATGCATGACCGTTTTTGCCACTTCTGCAGCGGGATCGAAAAGGTGTTGGAAAAAGATGTTCCTTTGTACAATACGGTAGAATAGTATTCACAAAATTTTTCGTGTTTAATTATTAAAGTTTTTAAGGTTTTAAGGCGCCTGACCTTGAATGTGGCCTGAGTTTTTTAGGCCCTCTCCTATTTCTGCGGCACGGGTTCAACGGTCGAATTTATTTTCCTCTTTTGGACTCTCGAAAAATTGGGGAAAGGGACGTATGTACCGTTAAAAGGGACTACATTCATGGTTCTCGCATTAGGAGAGTTGGAAGCGTTTTGGGCATTAGTACTAGGAAAAGATCCGAGGAACGTGAACACCTGGCACATGGAGGATGTGTGTTCGAAGTTCCACCTGGCACATGGAGGATGTGTGTTCGAAGTTCCAGACTAGGATGGGCCCGCGGAATACATATAACCTCGCCACTAGGATGTATCCCCCCTTTTTGATCAGACTCGGCAATCAGTGTGACTTCGATATTTGAGGCGCCGCTCGCCCAGTGCCTGAGCATGGAGGCCTTGGAGCGTGATGTGCAGAGAGAAGCTGTCAACCGTACTTATCTTGGATATGACGCAACTAGGTGGACGGGATGGGTGGACAGTAGGAAGGATGGAGGGAAAYGAGGGAGAAGAGATCTCTGAATGCAATTATGAGCTATAAAGTACGAAGGGGCTACGTCCCTTCTGATTTAGTGGGTCGGTGGTAGGTCCTCCTGAAGAGATTTGTGTACGCGCAAGTCGAAACGTGTCGAGGAATTGCGTATTTTTGTGGTGTTTGACAAGAGTGAACGTTTTTGCCCTTGTCCTCCGTGCGAGCAGTGTTCTACAGTGTTCTCATTACCCTGAATTCTGGGTAGACATGACAACCAGCGGTGTTGCCGATAGAGTGGTCACGAGTTTCTGTGTGGGTGGGGTGTAGTTTGGGTGGAAGGTTGAGGATTGTACCGTGATGGGGAAAGCAGGAAAGTCGCAGATGCTGAAGTTGTGCAAATGCACTTCCCATGATCTGCGTGGTTTAAGAAGGTTTCGTCATATCCTTCGTTTGTTGGTTGACAGGATTATCATGCAGTTGACCGCTCCTGACAAACATACGACGGCTGCAAGGGCTAGGGTGCTCGATTATATCGGTAAAAGTGAGCGGTTGCTCACGACTCTGTACTGGGTCCTATGATCACATATGCGAGGCACTCCTCGATCTTGTGTAAGAAGAAGGTGATTCTGACTCTGGTACGGACGTATCGGGATTTCGACCGTATTTGCACTCTCATTCGTGAGGCGCTTCAAGTACTAAGACGTGCGGCTTCACGAAGTGAGTCCTCGACTCGTAGATGAATATGGCGGGCTTAGGCACGTTGGGAGTGGGTGCCGCTAACATGGGTGGGGCGACTATTGGTGGGAATGTTGGCGGAGGCATGGGCGGATCATTGGGCGGGATAGGCGGAACGGGCATGTCCAACCCTGGTGGAACTACGGCATCACCTTATGGGGTGGTAACGTGTTTTATCTGCGGGAAGACTGGTCATTACTCTTGTAATTGCTGGCAGGCGGCCAGTAGACAGCAACCTGGGGAGGATCCTGAAATGAAAGAGCTCCTCCGCCGTATTGTGAAGAGGGAGAAAGACGAGGAGGAACGGAAGTCGCGAGAGAAAGAAGAAGAAAAAAGAAAAGAGGAGGAGGAGAGGAGGGAAAGTGAGAAGTTACGTGAGGCGGAAGCAAGGGAAGCGGCAACCATCGTACGGATCTTATCACAGCGGCAGGTACCTGCGATGATCACCCCAGCATCTCAACCAGTAGTGATTGGCTCACCATCTCACGCGGCGACCGATTCTAAGAAGCGATCTCCTCGCTCGAAGGCTCGGATGCTGAGGGAGATTAGAAGCTATATAGCCGAATCTGATGACGAGAGCGACGAGGTAAAGGAGGAGGCAGAGAAACTGATAGAGGCGATCGAAAGTAGGAAGAAAGGCAAGAAGAGTACGACAATTCTTCGCGCAGCTGCAAGTCGAGTCACCAGAACACCACGGAAAGACAAGACACGTCAAGCTACTGGGGGCGACGTTACAGATGTGTTTGAAACACCTAAGAAGGTGGGACCCGCCGAATGCTCCTGTGAAGGAGTGTTGGAGTATGCGCTCACACAGGCTCGGGCTCTGAGTGACCTCAAGGCGCCCGATCTGAAGAAGATCTGTGACCGAGAAGGGATCGACTACATTGTCAAGGAGCAGGCTATTGACGACATTGCACGCTGCCGCACAAGGTTGGCGTATGAAGGCTTCTTCGATAGAGATCAAGCTACACCTAGCAGTAAACATGCATCAGATATCCATGGGAGGTAGTAACATGGAAGTCGAGCTGGGCTGTAATTCCTCTCGTTTTTGAGTAGTTGGGTTTTGGTAGATGCGTTCACATGATAGATTAGTACGTGTGGGTATCATTCTATCTTTTTTGACCCTGTGGTATGGAAACACAGGATGCGCTTGCATGGTTTCGCGAAGTTATCGGTAGGAGAAAACGACGGGGACTTGAAAACGTGCATCCGATGCTGGTTAGATCGGAGGAGAATGAACTTGCACTTCTGTTTTTGCTGCTAACCGTACAAGGATATGTACCGTGGGCTGGGAAGCTTCTAAGGTTCATCGATCCCGATGATATTGATGTCAATCAGTCAGGTGTGTACGCTGTCATTAGTCCGGCCTGTCGACGGTTCTATATCGGATGCACGGTCCAAAAGATCATCACTAGATGGGCAGAGCATATTAGGTGTTCCAAATTTGCTAACATGTGCAAGGAAAATAAGCAACAGTGAGATGACAAACCCAGATCACACCATCACATTGCAAGCCAAATAGTCACACCGTGTCCAGATAACAGCATTGCACCAATAATACATCAATGGAGTTTCGTAGCACTGAAAACCAATGTTCGTGGAAAGCACACTCTCTCCTGTCGACACAAGAGTCCAGTTCCCTTACACTCACACTTGGCGCTCAGTGCCCAGCCTAATCCTACACAGCTACTACAGACTACAAAAAGACAATGCAACTGTTGACATCAGCAGCAGTCCGAAGTACTTGAAGATGCCGCCCATGCAGGCCATCGCCAATACAAGGTACGTGCCCTCACATCATCATCATCATCATCATCCTTCACCTATCCCCTGACTTCCCCACACATGTCCTCTCTGTAACCCGAAGACCACCCCTGCGCTTCACTGTAGTCCAAGCCCACCAGCTATGGTGGCTGGGCTATGGCGCTGCCCTCAGCAGCGCCCTCCTCCTCTGCACGACCGCACGTGCTGCACCTCGCCTCCCAGYGCTAGCAGCRGCCTACGAGCATWAGCTCSAGCAGCGCTGCCGCCCAGCATGCGAGTGCCTGAATGAGGCTTCCTGGCCAGAGCTCTTTCCTTTATGGAAAAGAGCTGGCCAGSTTTCGCAGCCTGGCTGGGCTGGYCTGGRCCCAGAAGCTTCCGGAAGGCCCCAGGATGCTGCCTGGATGCAGCAGCTACTGGGCTGCTGGGCCTCATATGGTTGGGCGCCCAACTGTCTCTGTATGACGCTGCGAATCACGCCCAGGGCCTGCATTCTTTGGAAAGGCCTGGTAGGTCGTGGAATTGTCTTCGGTACTCGGCCTGTGTTTCTTTCAACCAACTGGCGCGTCGCAACTGCCTGAACCCCAAATATGAAATTGACAGTCGAAGGCCTTTTGCAAAAAGCCAGGCCCGCCTTCACTTAGGGCGGGCACCTCCGCCTTCACTTAGGGCGGGTAAGGCTGCAGACAGGGCCCCAAAGGCCTACCGAGGACCCTGATCCTCGCACATGGGTAACGCACCGAGACTGCACACTTGGCTCAAGTTTTTTGGTTGGCAACAGTACGTAGTTCTACCTCTTGTTGCTGGTGTGAAGGACACTACGTTGGTAGAGAGATCGTTGATTAACCGGTTCTCTCCTTCACTGAACATCATCGGACGAACGGATACTAAAAAGAGAAAACGGAGGAAGGGTACCAATCATGGGAGCCGGAATTTTGGTGGTGTGGGGGGTCTGATCACAATCGTATATGAAAATGAGAAGTTCTCTTCTCTGCTGAACCTACTGGAAGGGTTGGTCGGGAAGAAGGGAGATGTAAACTTGACTACCTGCTCGGGAAAAATCTGGGTTGACTCCTGGAAGGTACTTAGGCAAAGGTTTGGGGAGTCCGATATTATCATTGGGACTGATAGGAGGAGACTGAGAGCCGTGAGGACGGAACTCGTGCTAGGGTGCAATTTCCGGATCACGAAATTGGCTGTCACTCCGACTACTGTGCAACGCAATAAGCGTTATTTACGGAATCTGATTGCTGAACCATGGAGAATGCGACAGCTATATCGATTGTCCAGTAGTAGACTGACATCACTGTACCGAACCGTTGGGCTTTTCTCACGAATCTCGACGCGCAATACCATTCGTTTGAAGATAGAACGTGTGGTGCGCGGGAATTTTGGAATCGATATAAGAAGAAGATTGGTTCTGAAGGTTCCGTTCTCCTCTGACATTGTTATGCGATCAATCCGCGAGATCATGATGAAGGTGATCTCGGCATCCGTGAAGGATCACGACATTGCCTCTCTCGTATTAGAGAGGATGAGGTTGGTAATGACGAAGTGTAAGACTGTGGGTGGAGTCGTTCAGAACTATAGGAGAGCACTGGATAACAAACAAGACTCGTGCACTTGTGCTGATTTCTACCTTGCACGGCATGAGGGACATGTCCGCGTTAGATTGGATGAGATTAGTGGAATACACCAGTTTGTGCACAACTCCAAGAACGTGACGAAGGGTAGAACAACGACTGTGTCACAACTGGTCGAGTTGATTGTTCGAGCTATACCAAAGACATGGAGGGCGAGTCTACTGGGTATTGCGTACGAAGACTTCCGCAGCTGCTACCGCTGGATCATCCTCGTCCGCGTTGACGGAACAGCAGGTCCAGATGGAGGTACACCACCTCCGCCAGTTGGTCTTCGTACCACTGGACAGGAACCCCGGGGCTACTTTGGTAGTATGCCTGGTGCTCTACTTCCATGCCTTTCACATGACTTTCTGTTGGAATACAGGTTTCCTGCGTCGTGACGAAAGTGAAGATCACATACTGTCTACTGCCAAGAAAGAGTATGTGGAAAGTGAACTACACATGCTGGCAACCTGGCATACATGTGGCAGGATCGGCAGAGCCTACATTATCCCAAAGGATAAGGATCTGGACTGGTGGCGACCTATATCGCCATCATGGTCCGAGCCTTCTCGTACTGCGAGTTCAAGGATGGGAAGATCGATACGGTACATGCTCAGATGCCTTCCAGAAAGATTGCATTTCAGCCTACGATCTACAGATGACCTCAAGGGATCTATGGAGAAGTCCGTGGCAGCACTGAGCAGGGAGGGTGACACAATTGTTGGGCGCAGCTATGACATCAAGGACATGTTTGCGAAGTTGCCACATCAGGATATTATCACTTCTGCGGTACGGCTGATGGATTACCATGGACGTCGCGGACTTACTGCAGTAAAGGTAAGTGTAAGGGGCAAAGCTTGTCGCATGTCAAGAAACCTCCGAAAGGATGACGGGATGGTCACCATCACTCTCGAAAAGATCACGGGGATGCGGTGTTTTGAACTAAAACACAATTATACCCTCTGTGATGGCCACGTGTACCAGCAAACATTTGGGATACCTATGGGAAAACACTCTTCCCCTGCACTGGCAGACTTGCTATTTGCAAAGGGTGAGTTTGATTTTCAAACTGCTCTTGGTAGTGACCGGCGACTGGTTGCAGGACTCAGGATGGTGGATGACGTATCACTGCTTATTGTTTTTAGTGCAGGTGTTACAAGTAGCTACCATAGGGCAATGAACATTGCTGAGCTCTTTGAGTACTGCTACCCACCTTCTCTGAAGCTGGTGAAGAAGGACGATGGGAGAAACACTTGGGAATTTCTGGGGTGCAGAATTTTTGTTGTGCCCTTTCCTGCGCGAGTACACATATTTCCCAGAACAAAGAATCAACCTTGTCTCATTAATTCTCGGAAGTTACACTTCCATTCCATGCAGGATTACGCATCATATACTGCGAAGAAGGTGAAGAAGTTGACGTTGACAGCGTCGATGCTCCGTCTTTGAGGTCATCTACTGATGATGAAGCTGCCCTGACCTCGATCATCTGTCTTGTGAAAGAATCTCGCCTCCGGGGCCACTCCCCGGAGGTCTTCGGATCCCTGGCGAGATTTGCCAGGGTGGTGGGTGGTCCATGGGGATCTTGGATTCCCAGGGTGTACCCCCATCTGCAGGAAGGGTAGGAGAATATTCGTAGTTCAGTCGAGGGGCCCTCCTACCTCAATTGGCCCATAACCATGCATGACCATTTTTGCCACTTCTGCGGCGGGATCGAAAAGGTGTTGGAAAGAGATGTTCCTTTGTACAATACGGTAGAATAGTATTCACGGAATTTTTCGTGTTTAATTATTAAAGTTTTTAAGGTTTTAAGGTGCCTGACCTTGAATGTGGCCTGAATCGTGCCGAGTTTTTTAGGCCCTCTCCTATTTCTG